TCATCCCAATTGACCCCTTTTTCGTTGTTATTTGTACCTAAGACGTCCCCAATATCCCCAAAAACAACAGATTTTTACATGTATTTTTATTTTATCAAATACATTAAAACCAATAACAACTGAGACTTACCTTTAATATACATGATGGTTCAAACACTAAATAACGTTTATAAATCACAGTCGTCTTCTATTATTATCAAATAAATAAAAGAGAGCAAAGTTTCTAGCACTGAAATAATTACCACCACAGAAAGTTAATTTGAAACGCGATTTTTTATAAGTTAGCAGCTATTATCATGCATATTCAGAGTTGTTTTGTAAACTTTCAACATTCTACTATTAAACTACAAAAATGGAAGATTTTGCAACGAATTTTTAACTAATATTGAGTGTCGAAAGATTTTCCCGGTTTTTTCCCGATTCGCCTCTCAATCCCTAATCGCCCCATTTTACGGTACCGATTTTAATTTCTAAATTATAGCACTGGTTCATTTCATTGAGAACACTGACATCTAGTGACAGTTAGTCATACTACAGGCTGTAGTTTATTCCCGATTATTTAAGTAAGTTTAAGTAGTTCTATTTGGAAACGTCAGATGGCAATAATATTATTGAGAAGACTTTTCACACTATCATAGTCACAATATCACACATAGTCACGAGATACAGTCTAATCAAACTTTAAGGCCATTATATTAATTTTAATTGCTTAAACTGGTAAATAAATCAGTACCGGTAAAATGGGGTGATTAGGGACAACTTCCAACTTTATGACCAATTTTAAGGTAGTTGTTGATGTATATAATGCTATATCAGGATTAAAATGATTGAGTCTTGGGGGCATCTTTGTTATCCAATTTAAAACTATGCAACTAGCATTCCAGTTTATGCAAAAAAAGCAAAAATAGGTGTAATCCCTATTTACCCGGAAATTGCGGTTAATTGGGACGAAATGAGAAATTTGCTAGGGTTGGCACTACTTGGTTTTAATTAATTTATTTTATTTACTTATGATTAATTTATATTTACTTGGGAAATGATCCACGACAGATTTGTCCTGTAAGCTGTGAGACAGTTAAAAAAAATATCTATTTCATCACTTAAAATTAGTTCAGCGCAATCGGACAACTCCGAATGAATATTGACGGAGACCACGTTACCGTGGACATTATTGTAGTCCCAAAGGATTCTGTATATGGGAGAGTAAGCACCTAAATTCGAACGAGTGAGCTTTCTTATGACTGATAATATAAATATTTACCAAACAATAAAATAACACATTGATAATTTTAAATAAAAGTTCTAGACAAAGACATCATGAATAAACCAGATTTTTACCAACAAATTTAAATTATAACTACATAGACAACCCTACAAACCTGTACCTATTTATACTTAGGTCGTTTCCATTTCACGTATTTTCATCCCAATTGACCCCTTTTTCGTTGTTATTTGTACCTAAGCCGTCCCCAATATCCCCCAAAACAACAGATTTTTACATGTATTTTTATTTTATCAAATACATTAAAACCAATAACAACTGAGACTTACCTTTAATATATATGATGGTTCAAACACTAAATAACGTTTATAAATCACAGTCGTCTTCTATTATTATCAAATAAATAAAAGAGAGCAAAGTTTCTAGCACTAAAATAATTACCACCACAGGAAGTTAATTTGAAACGCGATTTTTNCAGATTTTTACATGTATTTTTATTTTATCAAATACATTAAAACCAATAACAACTGAGACTTACCTTTAATATATATGATGGTTCAAACACTAAATAACGTTTATAAATCACAGTCGTCTTCTATTATTATCAAATAAATAAAAGAGAGCAAAGTTTCTAGCACTAAAATAATTACCACCACAGGAAGTTAATTTGAAACGCGATTTTTTTTAAGTTAGCAGCTATTAACATGCATATTCAGAGTGGTTCATGAACTTTCAACATTCTACTGTTAAACTACAAAAAATGGAAGATTTTGCAACGAATATAAAAATAATATTGAGCGTCGAAAGATTTTCCCGGTTTTTTCCCGATTCGCCTCTCAATCCCTAATCGCCCCATTTTACGGTACCAGACACACCTAAATTAGTACACACTTAGATTATTTAAACGTCCACGCAACCAGGGCATAATATATTCTTTAAAAAAAATCACCACACCCACACACAATTATAGTCTGTGGAAAATATAGAAAGCGCGCCAAAATCATAAATGTATTATCTATAGCCAAAATTTAAACGCAAATATTGCACTCCTAAATTTTTTTAATGTAAAATGTTCTAAGTAGATAAGATTACTAAATCATTTTGAATACATACAACTTACATAATAATTGCATTACTTAATTATACATGGAGTGGTTGAATGTTGACGTGCAAATAGTAACGATTGTATTAAGTGCAAGTAAGTAACTCGAACAATAAAAATAATTAAAACTATGTACTTTTACTGTTAATTTCGCTCTTTTTACTATCATTATATTATTTCTGACGTTTCGTATACTTTATAGTTTTCGTGATCCGTGTCCGTGGCCGTTAAATTAGTTTAAATTATTTATGTGTACGAATCGCGAAAATCGAAGAAAATATAACAAAATGTAAATGCATCAACAGATTAATATGCACAGCCATACATCGACATCTTAGTGAGTTTCATGATATCAACCGAGTTACGTGCAGACCTTTAAACGTACCTAAATAAGCGGAAGTATTGTAATAATTTTGTGTATATAATAAGTGTTGTAATAATAGCAAATAAGAAGATTTATAATCAAGCCATTTATTACTTTTATAATAACAAAAAAACAAAGATCAGGTTTTGGATACATTAAGTTTTTATGTAACAGTATTAGTGTCTGATTTATAACCCTTTCAATACAATAACATTCTCGATTATGTTCTCATCGCCTTATTGTCATTTCCAATTCTTATACTATAACCAGAGAACAACGAAACATTGAAAACTAAATCATATTACTCTAGAATTAACTTTTGTATATTTCTCATCAAAGCTTATCAAAAATGTGTCGCAGAGGTTTTTCTTATCAAACTCTTCTAATATTTCACTCGACAGATTTTTGTTGATAATGGCTGCACATCGCGTATCTGTTGTGGCGTCGCTAAGAGGTGCTGATAAATCTTCAATAGAATATGATGATGGGGATGAAATAATGGAGCAATCCGGAGAGCGGAGTACGATGACTCGAGACTTCAGTATTGGCAGAGTCGAAGAATCATACTGCTTGATGCTAAGAATTTTTGCATAGACAGATTGTATCAAAGCTTCCACATATTGCTTTGTCTGTGCTATTTGACCAGTCATCATTTTAATGCAACTCTCTATCTTTTCATTCCAAGAGGACAAAGGAGGCAAAGCTTTCTCTAAATCTGATGGATCATTAGCAGTGAGTAGCTTAAAAATGTGCTTTAAAATCTCAAGCTGCAGTTGGTCTTCGGTTGTGAAGGCGGCTAGTTCACGTTCAATTATTGGCTTGACATCTTCTGGTGCACTACCGAGACAGAAGACTGTGCCTAAAATACCTGAAAATTTACAAGTAATTTTAGGAAAACAGAAAATATCTCCTGACTGCAGATATATTATGGTTTTTATTTAGATAATGGTTAGGTGGGTGGATGAGCTCACAGCCCACCTGATGTTAAGTGGTTACTGGAGCCCTTAGACATCTACGACGTAAGTATCGCCACCCACCTTGAGATATGAGTTCTAAGGTCTCAGTATAGTACAACGGCTGCCGCACCCTTCAAACCGAAATGCATTACTGCTTCACGGCAGAAATAGGCAGGGTGGTGTGGTATACGGGACGGTGGCTACCCGTGCAGATTTACAAGACGTTCTATCACCAGTGATGACGCAAATTATAATTTTGCGGGTTTTGATTTTTATTAAAGTTATTCCTTCACCGTGGATGTCAATCGTGAACTTTTGTTAAGTACGTATTTCATTAGAAAAATTGGTACTCGCCTGCGCGATTCGAACACCGTTGCATCGCTAGAATACGAATGCACCGGACGCCTTATCCTTTAGGCCACGACGACTTCAAAATTAAAACTTGGAAATATTTACCATTACTCTCAAATATTGCAGCTAACTCCATGGCAATTAAAATACCAATATCGGATGCGAGCAAGTAAAAACTTTTTCTGACACCAATTTGCTCTGTTATCAACTGAAAGGAATAGAGAGTACCTATTTAGTACAAAAAACAAATACAGAAATATTTCTAAAATGTTGCGATTTAATAAAAAACCATGCAATAAATAATATGGTCTTGTACCCTATAGTATGTATATTAATTTATATTAGCTTAAGCAATAAGTAGTGAAGCAGTAGTAGCCACCAGCTACTACTGCTTCACTACTTATTGTGTCGATGGAGACCACATTTAGCAGTGGGATAAAAGATAGTCTATAAGCCAAACTATTTCTGTACTGAATTTCTCTAGTACACTGTTTGGAAGGTTAAGAACAAAGGGAAGGTCGTCTTTCAAGAGAATGAAAATTTTCAGTAGACCGACGGTTGGTCTGCGGATGATGGGTCGGTCGACTTGTTTAAATATATACAAGCTTATATTGAAAATGTCATAAGCGAGAGTCAAATATCTTGTGTTCTATGATGGCTACTACCACACAGTGGTTAGGGCGCGAGAACGTAACAACAGAGTGATTTTTTATAATTTTATATAGTACTAGCTGTACCCGTCCGCTTCGCTGGGCATTTAAAATTAACATTATTATTTCTCACCTACACAAAGATTCTCATCATTAACGCCCCCGCAACTGGTGTAGGGAGTCCAACACTCATATAAGTATTAGCCTATCCATTAAGTACATGTATTTTCTACATGGATACCAAGTTTCAAGTCAATCGGATGCATGGCTCAGTAGTTATAACGGAACATCCGTAAAAATCACTGTAGATTTATATATTAGTATAGATGAATTTTTTTCACCTTTGAGCATTTTTCGGCGGTTTGCTGTATAGTATCGCTTGTTCTATCCAGACGTGGCTGCAGCACTAGCGCGGGCAGCTTGAGTCTCTCGCAAATACCACAAAACCTTTCGAAATTATTCTCGATTCCAAGAACTATGCTCAAGTACTCTGACTCAATTGCTTCAGACAGTTTCTCCTGAAAATTTGAAGTAAAATTTTCTTAAAATATAATCGACAGCAGAATTTATAAAATAATTTTTTTTTTACTTTTAACATAAAAATTTTTAAACGTAAAATTTGTTGTATTTTTTAATATTTAATGTAGGTACATATTTAGGTATTGTCATCATTTCGAATTTTTTCAACAAGCATCATTCATTTCATTATTAATTTCAAATTATGCATTCAAATGCTTAAAAAAAAAAATTGGGGAAACAATGTAGACTCACCGTTGTCGTATTGCCAAGTGTGGGTAAAGAGTACACGAGGGCATTGGAATTGAGTTCATCTTTAGCTATGTGAGACAAGTAAACAGCTAAGCCTTCTTTCTTCTCGAAGCCGTTTTGAAGAGAATCCAACTCTTCAAGCCTGAAAAAGACAGCGGTTTTATGCAATTTTGAATTCTCCCGATCCACTCTTGATAGCTTAGGCTTTTTTTGCTACCTATTCTAGTAACCTCGAAATGTTATACTAGATTCGCCGAATAAGTAGGTGAGCTCACGAGGCTATAACCTGGTGACGTTGCTAACACTAGTCCTAGCTAGAGCAGTGCTTCGGCGTTCGACGTTCGAGTTAATCTTTTTTTTTTTTTATTGCTTAGATAAGTGGACGAGTTCACAGCCCACCTGGTGTTAAGTGGTTACTGGAGCCCATAGACATCTACGACGTAAATGCGCCACCCACCTTGAGATATTAGTTCTAAGGTCTCAGTATAGATACAACTGCTGCCCTAAATGCATTACTGCTTCACGACAGAAATAGGCGGGGTGGTGTGGTCTACAGACATAACTTGGCTAAATTTTTCGCCGGATCTTCTCACTGGGTCGTGATTTCGATACGGTGATATATTAAGCGAAGCACTGCTCTTGTTAGTCCCAATGCTATCAAATCCTCTCAGGCTGAGCCCCGTGAGCTCGCCCATCGACCAAGCCGAAATCAGAACAGTCCGTCGAGGCTACTGGCTTAGGTATGCCAAAAATTGTACGTTTTATATATTGTTTTAAAGTTTTAAACAACACAGAGAGGGCTATGTTCCGAAAAATCAAGATTTGTTTGCAATGATGAAATATTTATGAATGTAGAAATAATACTTTGAAGTTTTTAATTTACGGAATTCCCGAGGGACTGTATAAACGGATAGCTAGCTTTTTTGACGTACACATCATAAAATTCGTAGTTATTTTCGTTACAATACGTTTGTTGCTCCTCATGCATACGCAAAAAACCGGCTAACAGAGTTCAGAAAGCGGGTCTCCGAATGGTTTAACCTCTTGGAAACACAGGTTTGTGTGTGCGCTGCCAATATTGATCCATCTGTCATGACTTGCATTTAAAATTAAATATTACTGTTACAGAATCTCTGAACTTACTTCTGCTTGTTTAACTCCAATATTTCCTGTTCCAAAAAGCACTTATGATATTTTTGACGTAGAAATTCTTTAACTATTTTAATGTTTTCGCTTCCAACAGACAATTCTCGTAGAGTAGTGACGTCGTTTGCATCTTCTAAAGATGGAATATCTGAAAACGGTGCAGATTTGTCACAGTCGCCGTACATATTTAGTTTTAGATTTGTCGTAAAGCAATAATGCATTTTGGTTAGAAAGTTATTGTAATATAACAACAATTAGGTAACATTACGTACACACATGTAATACAAGAAAAATAACAAGATTTAGACGTTAAATATCGCACCATTAATGATAAGAATTTTTCTGGATATTCGTACGGACTTTTATTTCGTTTTGTTTTCACATGGGATATTCAGTTCTTAATATTTACCAGCAGAAGCTGCAAGTTGTTGATATAGCGGTGATGTGTAAGTGCTTCCTTGGGCGACCAACAATGGGACCTTGCAGCGAAGTCCGGTCTCTAAAGCGTCCAATGTGGATAAGTTCCAAGCTCCCTTGTCTAAGATGGCGTGTTTTTCATTCTCCTGATAGACATTTTAAAGAAATAGTTTGATGCTTTTAGAAATGATTATGATTAATTTAGCTTCGGAGAGTAAAAATGAGGCATTTAAACACATACATCGTGCGATTTTCTTCGGTTTTTTATTGCTTACACTTGGAATTTGAGTTAAAATCGACTGTAATTGCGATGAAAAGTTACTTGAAACGTATTTGTGAATATGCAAAAGCTTAAAAATTAACGTCTATGATAGACAAGCTTACATTTATTTGCGGCCTTCGAGTTTCGATTACAGAAATAATTGGATATTCATTTACTCCAGAAATACACGTTTTCTCTACAACCTTCATATTGTTGGTAATCACTGCAAAGCACCTAAAAGCAAAGTTTTACAATGTAGTCTATTTTAAGACAATGGTCACTTCTATCATACTACATGCTAGATGAATTGTTACATACAAAGAGGGCTTGACTCTTCTTTAAAGCTTCTAGTAATAATCAAAAGGTGATGGGAAAATATGATTGAAAACCGTCACATCAGATAATTATGTTCATTTTACAGTTCATTAGACCTCAAAAAACTATCTTGATTCTTACCTTAATAATGGAAATAAATCTTTGGACATATTACCAATGTCTTGCAGGATGTTTAATGTTTCGTCGTCATTTCTAAAGTTTGCCACATAAATGCCTTCTAATGGTCCCATAGCTATAGTTTTTTTTAAAAGAAATGTAGTATCGTAAGAATCCTTTATTATGTTCGTAGATACGATCACATTGACACCAATAGATTTTAAATTGCTGAAATAAAAATTTGTTCCGTACAATTTTAATTTTTCCAAAGAATCATGACTGCACATCGTGAATGATATTTAATTTTATCACTCAGTTATTATAATCTATCGATTTCAAAATATAAGTCGTACTCGCACATTGGTGTAAAATGAAGTTTATGTTGGGTCATTAATTCAATATTCCACACATAAGTTTACCGAATAGGAATAAGCGAGACTTCAATTGCTTATACAAATAAAATAAAATAAAAAAGCCTTCTATTTCTTCCAGAAATTTCTAGTTTACAGTTGCATAGTTTTAATAGTATCAAAAAAGAAATTTTATTTAATGGATAATAATTATCTTTTTTATATGACATTTTTTATATATTTTTTATATTTTTGTTTAAAATTATTCTGTAAGAACCCCTCTGCGGGTAAAGGCCTCCTCTAGATTGAGCCAGTTTTCTTTGGATTGTGCTGCTTGTGTCCAATTTGGATCCGCTATGCGTTAGTTTATGCGTTAGTTTCGTCCTCCCATCTGATGGATGGTCTACCTTTCTTTCTTTTGCCCACTGGCCCCCTCCATTCTGTCACCTTTTTTGTCGACCTTTGGTCTTGTAGACGCGCTATGTGTCCGGCGTATTTCCATTTTAATGCAAGAGCTTGCGTTAAACCGTCTATCGCTTTTGTGCTGCTTCTTATTTTTGTATGCCTTATTTTTTTTTTTTTTATGTTTAGCATACTCCGCTCCATTCCTCACTGGTATTCTATGATTTTATTTTTTATAAAATTCCATGTTTGGCAAGCGTAGGTCAGGCATGGTATGAGGTTACCCCGCGCGCCCCTTTTGCGCGGGGTCCTCGTAGGAAGTTCGGCCCTATACCCGAAAAAAAAAAGGCATGGTATGAGGCAAGAATTCATGACCTTTGTCTTCAGTTTGATGAGCATGTTGCTTTTGAATATTTCTTGAAGGCTCCAATACTTATTCCACGTTAGTTGGGTTCTGCGCTCGATCTCTTGGTAGTTGCTTAGTCTGTCGAAGCTTATTTGCTTGCCTAGATAAATGTATTTATCGGTGTATTTGAGAGGTTCATCGTCGGCGTATATTTGTACCCTGGTGTTGTTAGACATTACCATAGTTTATGATAGGTTCATCTCCAGCCCTGCAAGCCTGCTAGCTTTGTTTAATGATTCTACCATGTATTATAGTTCTTTTCCTTTCTCTGAGATCAACACCAAGTCGTCGGCAAAACGTAGGTGGCTTAGATACTTATTTTTTATCTTTATTCCGCATCCATACCACTCCAGTTTATTTATTATCGACTCTAATGTGGCTATAAATAGTATAGGTGAGAGCGGGTCTCCCTGTCTTATGCCTCTCTTTATGAGGAACCAAAGGCCGGCTGTTTCTAGTTTGACTCTGCTTTTGCTCTTCCTGTGAAGACTTTAAATTACTCTTAAGTATTTATTTTCCACATTTTGTGTTGTTAGAGTTTCCCAAATATAGTTGTGCAATACTGAATCGAATGCTTTTTTGTAATCTATGAATGCCAAGTACAGTGGTCTGTTTCTCTCTTGATATTTTTCGATGAGGAGTTCTAGTGTGTGGATATGGTCAACGGTAGAGAATCCTTTTCTGAATCCTGTCTGTTCAACAGGTGGTCTTGATTCTAATGTAGAGCTAATTTTTTTGGTCAGGATTGTAGAAAATAACTTGTATGCACTCGACAGCAGACTTATAGGTCTGTAGTTCCCAATATCATTTGGGTCGCTTTTTTTGTATATCAGGATTATGTTAGATTCAGACCACTGGGTGGTTGTCTCTCCAGATTCAAGAATAGAGTTGAATAAGTTGGTAAAGTGTGTAGTTAATATTGGGGCAGATATCTTTTGGGTCTCGTTTGCTAGGTTGTCCGAGCTCGGTTTTTTGTCTGGTTTCAATTTGTTTAGTGCCTCGATGACGTCCATGTCTTCGATCTGGGATCTTGTTGGTATGTTACCTTCGCTGCTGCTAGTATGGTTCTCGTGACTGGTGTTCTCTGGCTCTTTTGTGCTGTAAAGATCACGGTAGAACTCTGTCGCTATGTTGATGATGTCTCCGCGGTTGTTTTTGGTTAAATCGCCTCGCTTTAGCTTTTCGATCCAAGTTTTATTTGGTTTCGGCTCTTTGAATGCCTTTTTTGTGCTACCCGTTTTACTTATATGTTTTTAAAGAATTTTATATCTTTAGTTAGGGTAGTCTTTTTTTTATGCATTTGTTGCCAATCTTATAAAGTGCCGAGATTTCGTTTTCTTATTACTCTGTTTTTGTTTGGACTTTTTTGTAGGTCTTGTCTTCTTTTAAGAAGTTTTTATGTATGCTCTGAAATATTTTGTGGGCTTTCTTTGGGTTTTGTGCTATTTGGACATTTTGTAAGCTTGAGGTGATGATTCTGATTAGGTTATCGTAGTACATCTGGATTGGGATAGTACTCTCCGCAAACAGTTGGTCTTTTGATAAGTGTGAATTAAGGGTTTCTTTGAAGTTTGTGATTTCTTCTTCGCTTGATATTTTGTTTTGTGGACAAATTTTAAAATTCTGCTTTTTTTTGAAGTGTGTGTCATATGATTTTGTAGCTCTTACTGGCCTGTGATTTGAAGGGTAATTGAGGTTCAGTACTTCTATGTTTTTAAACAGATGAGGTCTATTTGACAGCACAAAATCGATTTCATATTTCTTTTTTTCTGATGATCGCCAGGTCCATTTATTTTTTGGGTTTTTTTTTGACAAAAGTGATCAAAATAGATAATTTGTTTTCCCTGGCATATTCGATTAGTCTTTGTCCTCTCTCATTTCTGCTTCCGTATCCGTGTGCTTTCATAATAAGGTGTTCCGCGTTTTTTGGTATCCCGATTTTTGCATTTAGGTCGCCAATCAGTATGAAGTCTTTGTGTGCTAGTTTTATTGCTTAGTTTACTGTCGCATAAAAGATGTCAATTTCTTCATCACTTGCTTGTGCAGTAGGTGCGTAGACTTGAATGATCGATAAGCTGGTATTCTCAAATTTCAGGTTTAATATGGCTACTTTTTCCGAAAGGCCGAGGTAGCTTTCTATATTGTTTTTAAAGTGGTATTTAACTATAAAACCTATGTCTTCCAGTTTTATGCTCTGTATAGCAGAAAATGAAGTTTTCATGCTCTTCAGTTTTGTTACCAATGCGTCTTGTTTCAGCTATTCCTAATATGTCATATTTAATTTCTATAAGCGCTTCATTTAATTCTAACAGGCGATCATATTATGATGAAAGTGTTTTGACATTGTATGTCATGATAGCCTTTTTTGTGAGGTTTTTTTCTTTATTAGATGGTTGTTTGGAGGGTTTTGGTCTTGATCTTCCACGGGGACCAACCGTCTTGGAAGATGAGTTTGGTGTTCTGATAATGGTTGTTGTTTGTTGATGTTGCGAGAGGGGGACGGTAATTGCTATATGTTAACGTTGTTACTTTGTTGCAGATCTGGTGAGTTGTTTGTGTTTCTGTTAATCAGGTAATTCAGCATGCCCGGTTTTATAATACCTTCTGATAGGCTTGAAGTTCTTCTTGGATGTGTTTGTGTTTTATTTTTCTTGTAGGTGTTTGTTTCGGCTCCTTTTGTAGTTTTGTTTTCAGAAGTTGAAAGTATTCTTTTGTTGTTTAGTTGTTTTGTTTCTTTAACTTATGACAAGTTTGTCGTATTTTATTTTTACAAGGTTTCACTTTTTCCTTTCAATCTTTGCTTGTTCTTGGGGTTCTTTCCACTTCTCTAGGATATCTTTTGGAAATCCTCCGTTATGTAGTAACCGGTATTATTTAACGCACTTTTCTTTTTAAATAAAGGGTTTTCTGGGTTAGCATATGAAGTTTAGGTTTCTATTATTCCGAAAAAGACGATGTTGTTTTTTCTTGTTTGTTTTTTTTCTTGTCTTATTTCTTGATTTTCGCATTTTTCTCTTAGATGTTCGTATTTTTCATTGAATAATTTAAATTTATCTTCTAATATGCAGTTTATATTTTTCGTAACTTTTTCTGTCACTTTCTCCACTTTTTTCTATTGCGGTTTTCTGTTCGTCTAAGAAGTTCTTCCAAAATTTCCTCCATTTGTTATAATTTCTGGATTAGTTTTGACAGTATTGATGTGGTTGTTATTGTTACTACTAGTACCCTCTTATTATTTCCGTTCTAACTTACTAGGATAGCTTGCGCCTTGTCAAAATCGATCATAGATCAAGGCTGGTTAGGTCTTGTGTAATACGGGAAGCTTTCCTCAGATGTCGCTAGTGATTTTGTGCAGTTCTCATTCGATATTTAATGCAAGTCATTTTGACAATAAAAAAGTAGGGTTATTTGGATCACTTTTTTTTTAAACAGGTACCGGGATTATGTAAGCTCAATTTACTTCAGTTTTGTTTAATCTTTCACTTCGAATGCATAAAGCGTGAAGGGTACGTTTGTATATACATGTGGCACGCCCGATTTTAAGCCAAAACGCTTATCACTGATTACGCGGTTTTCACTCAGTTTTGGTTGTTATCCATAATGTATGATATAAATAACTTGATTATTTCTTCACTTTTGACTTTCCACTAATTAAATGTATTTTCCATTAATTTTTTTTAATACGGAGCCGTAGTCAACTTTGGCACTGTTAAACCCTCTCCGCCCTTCAATTGCTTACATGATAGTTAAATCTTGAGTTTAAAAGAACAATAATGAAAAGGTTGCTAAAAAGAGTTTTCCTAAAAGCTGTTCGATTGATGAAGAACTTAGTACTACCAACTTTACTTAAAACCAAAACTTCAAGCTCTTAAGAATTGTAAAAAACTTACTCTGTTTTATGTTGGAGATACCATGAGACTTTCGGACTACAAATGTGTATTTTTGTAGCACCTCTACTGACAAGTCTGTTCGCTAACTGAATACCGAAATCTTCTTCGCTGCAGATGATTAACTGACTGCATTCGGATCTACAGCTGATCCTGCGTTTTTTTAAATATTAATATTTGACTTGTGAATTGTAACGTAGTGAATACACGAGATAGTCTGGTCAACGAAAAACAATAGTAAACAGTGACCTAAATTATAGCTTAACTTAATTTATTTATTGCGTAGATGGGTGGACGAGCTCACAGCCCACCTGGTCTTAAATGGTTACCGGAACCCATAGACATTTACAATGTAAATGCCTCCACCCACCTTGAGATATGAGTTCTAAGGTCTCATTACAGTAATTACAACGGCTGCTCCACCCTTCAAACTGAAACGCATTACTGCTTCACGGCAGAAATAGGCAGGATGGTGTACCTACCCGTGCGGACTCGCAAGAGATCCTACCACCAGTAAATGAACTTAAATGGAATTGAAGTCTTATAGTATTTACTGCCTTCATACATTACTCTATACTATTGTTATATTGAGCGAGAACTATAAAGTACCTTGGTTGAGCTGGCAGCACTTGTTCTGTGAGTCTCAATAATATATGTCCTCGATGCCAATTCTTGCATAAGAGTCGAAAAGCACGAGGAGCTTCCTTTGAAGAGTATGACACTCTAGCTAGTGGACGAACGTAGCCACTGGAGATGCCTTCATTCATAAGTATTTGTAAATTCTGTAGACGGAAACTTCAGTTGAAAATGTATTTAACTTAAAAATCAATGTGATAGTTGAAATATACAAATTTTAGGAAAGGTACAACTTCATTTTAAGTATGTTATTATCTCAGTTTATGAAAATAGCCTGACTAGTGATGGACTCAAAAAAATTATAGTCAATTGAATGGAAGTGTTAATCCTCGTTCTGTAGTATTTACGGGTGGATCAAATTCCTACGTTCCTATGTGTGTTCCTATCTGATAGTTATAGAACTAGTACTATGGTCATTATGAATCTTTAATATTATATATACTAACTTTGATTTCTTCAGAATTCCAAAATTCAAAAATTGACTCGAACTTAGTAGTTACATAGGATCTGTCATTAATCAGACTGTTCATACGCAATTCGAAGTTCTCGCGTTTCTCAATTTGTTCCGTGTCAAAAATAACGCTCTGATAATTACCGCATTGAAGTGAAACCTGCAATTCAAAACGATAAGTTTATTTTATTGCCTTTTCATATTAGCTTACGTTTCGGAAGCAATTCCTGCATACATATTTTCCTTACGTTTTTGAGTGATGTTTCGACATTGCTTATTATAATATCGCAACCTTTCCCATTTGTCGCTGTTAGAACCATGTCCCCGAAAGTGATGTCTCTAGAATTTCCAATGTGTTCCTCTGAAATTTTATATTAAAGATAAGTATATGCCGCATACTTATTTATATTTATCTCTAAAAGGGAAGCAAAAACACTATGCGGAATATATCTTCTAATGGCTTTCTCGTTAACAAAAAATGAACAGTTTGCGGACAAAGACATCCATTCGGTTTTAAACTTCCTTTTTTGTATGAAACCATAACTTCCGTATAAATTTTAATCAAAATGTTATAAAATCATAACTATCCGTGAAGACATATCAGGTGGGCTGGGAGTACCTACATCTGCTTTCAAAACCAATATTGTTGACTACCTTTCAATTCTGGGAATAGTTTCTTCAAGAACCTTTTCGTTCTTAAATCCCCTACTGTAGTGAATACTTGGCATTTGTGTGCCAGAGCAATGGCAATGACAGCCTGGCCGAGTGCTCCAGCTCCTTCGTGTATAAGTATTTTCATACCGGCGCACAGCTTAGCTTTGATTGCCTAAAAATCGAAAAAATTATCTCATGATTTTGAAATAAGAAGGTATTTCGATACGTAATATCAAAATAGTGAACGAAATCATGGTCCATTTAGTGTAAAGTGAATATTGGAACTCAGATATGATCATTTATAAATGCCACCACCCGCTAGAGAAATGAGATCGAAATCTCAATTGTGTTGTGTAACAGCTGCCTAATTTTTGAACCAGAACGCGCCTATCCAAGGGACCTTATGATACGCATTGCAACAAGTTAATGTTGGTTAGCGATCACAGTGGCTGGTATAATACTGATAGATTGCCGCTGCCCCCGCTTCAGTGAATTAATCACCCTTTAAGACGCTTTTGGAAGTTGATGGTTTGGTGATATTCTAGGCAGATTATATATAGCCTTTGGTAACAATAAACACGAAAAATAACAAACGACACTCACTAGACAATAAAAAGCATACGCGTAAGCTAAAGGAACTGTGGCAGCGTCTTCGAGGCTCCAGTGATCAGGGACTGGCCACAAAAGATCGGGGTGAGCTCGAACATAATTTCGACAAGCACCACGATGAACTATACCCATCACACGACTTCCGCTACATTAAAAACGAACAATTATGTAAAATAATTTTGAAAATCTAGTATAAACTTCACATTTTATTAAAATCAAATTTACATTAATAATATTTATTTAAGAAAAATTGTATTAATCACAATCACAAAATTGTATATTTTTTTTTGCTAAATACTAATTTGATTATGAGTATATACAATCACAGAAGAAGCTAGTTTGCTGGTATTATCCGTGTTGTTTCAACCACGTCCTACTACATAATAATATCCCAATAGGCTACCAAGAATATTAATAATATTTCAATAATAGATTACCTTTCGGCTATCCCACTGAAGTCTATTCCATAATAGTTCTCGCTGGCTCGATGCGGTACTGTTCCTGAGGCCTTCTTACCGTCGTAATTTGAAAGACTTGCGTAATGTACCTAGAACCATTTATTTTGCTTGACCGATTTAATTAATGATAGAAAAGTAATTAACCAGAAATTTTCTGGATGATCTGATACTATCCACTAAGGTTTGAAAGAGTTACCGGAAAGTGAAGAATGTTTTTCTGGGAAGAGCTTCTAAGAAGGTGGGAATGTCTATGAACTTTAATGGTATCGTGTCAAAGTAAAAAAGCCGCGCATTGATTTCATTTTACCAATGCTGTGTATGCAAATGTTTCTAAATCTGTCTAGTTCATTTAGCTGTACACTTCGACGAGGTGGTCATGAACAGTCTGATAAATTGATATTCATGCAATGTATACCAAAGGGAGGTTTGTTCATGTTGTGGGTAATCGATTGTATGAATGTTAACTCCTTTCTCTTCCTTGTATAACACCACCAATCATTTCAACAAACTTTCATTCCCTGTGTCATGTCCATACAGCTCTCAGGATAGAAATTATTCTCCGCGACCCCCTCTAGCACGTCATTCAAGACAGTAAATTATTTATGCTATTTTTGATTTATCGTCCATATTTCAACTCTATTCAGGATTAATAATCAACTATTAAGTGAACCACCGTGTTTTTGTTAATTTTCTTATCTTTCTATATTATCTTCGTGAGATTTTCCAAGGTCGATCGTGTCAAGGCACTTTGAATTTTGATTTCTTCGGATCTTCCAGTATTTGTGATTCCATCATTTACAGCAGTGCTTAAGGTACAATAATGTGAATACTGTGCAGACGGGCTCATTTATCTGTGTCTATAGCTATTATTGTATTATTGTGGACTCAACTTGAATACTTATTGGATTCTGTGATCGATTGCTTTCATTGCAGATTGTCGCTTGTGTACCGTACTGGAATTCGTTTTGCGATTTGCGAGTTACTTATATCGATTAAAAGTAAAAAAAAACTATGGCTGACAGAATAAATTGTAATTTTAATGCTCTTAGAAGAAATCACTTTTTTGAACGCCACATCACGGCCCAATTACTGGTTTTTGCGGAATTTATCCAAAGTCCCTTATACATATTAAGCTGCATAAAGTTGCGCCATATAAATAAGAGATGTTCGAGATAATAGCCGATACTTGTTACCATTTTTAGTTAATTTCTTTTGTGAAGCGGAATATGAAAGAAATGTGACCAATCCCTAAAGGTTCTCCTGTGTTTCACATCCTTCTTAATTTTACATATTTATTTAGGAATTTCATCATATTATGGCGTACGCACGTTCAAAAGCGAATCTTTGGTTATTTAAGAAGCAAAGACTAGCAGAAATCAACTCGAACTTAAACTAAACCTAACAGTTTTAATTCCTATAACAGTATTTTTTTATTGCCTGGATGGTTGGACGAGCTCACAGCCCACCTGGTGTTAAGTGGTTACCTGAACCCATAGACATCTACAACGTAAATAAGCCACCCACCTTGAAATATAAGTTCTAAGGTCTCAAATATAGTTACAGTTACATTATTACTAGCAGAATTCTCTGTTACCTAGAATTTTTTTGGAATCGTCTCTTATTTGGTGAGATACATCGAATTGTTGTTGTATTTACGCATGGTTCAAAACAAAAAAAAAATACAAATAAAATATTAAGTGTTGGAACTTAAGAACAATACGAGGGCGGCACTGAAAATTTCGGGAATTAACGAAGTGATACAACATTACTATTTAAAAATGTATTTATTGCTTTTCGAAGTATTCTCCGCGAAATTTGACACATTTTTCCATACGATGGAACCAATCATTGAGGCAACCATTCCAATCGGAAGTTGGGGTCTCCAAAATGGCCGTTTTGTAGGCGTCCACAGCTTCTTCAGGTGATGAAAATCTCTGTCCACGCAATTTATTCTTTATTTTAGGGAAAGTATAGAAATCATTAGGGCTTAGGTCGGGGCTGTACGGCGGATGGTCTAATAATTCCATGTTTTCTTGCTCTAAAAACTCTTTTGTTCTGTGCGCGGTGTGAGAACTCGCATTGTCGTGATGGAGGATGATGCGGCGGTTGCAGTTCTCTTTACGGAGTTCAGAAACGACCTGTGGCAAACAAATGCTAGCATACCATTCTGCATTAACCGTTCTTTGTCCCTCAAGAGGAATAGTCGTAACATGGCCGGTTTTGGAGACAAACGTGGCCACCATTTTTTTTGCAACACTCCGTGAACGAACAATTTTTGTTGGCTTTAACTCATTTTCGAACACCCAAACTCGTGACTGGTTTTTTGTTTCGAGTTCGTACGCATATATCCAGGATTCGTCACCTGATACAATGTTGTATACAGCATTTGAGGATCCTGCGTGGAATCTTTCGAGAGTTCTGACGCACCAAGTAACGCGAGCCGCTTTTTGCTCTTCACAGAGTGAATGCGGTATCCATCAGGAAAACAACTTTTTTACACCTAATTGTTCATGCAAGATTATTTGTATTTGACTCATGCCAATGTCTAAAGTTGCCTGAATTTCGCGGTATGTCACATGTCGATCTTCCTCAATCAGCTTACGCACAGCATCAACGTTTTCTTGGATGACTGCAGTTTTTGGACGACCTTGACGGGGATCATCACTGAGCTTGACACGTCTACGTTGAAACTCAGCAAACCAGCGATAAATTGTGGTTTTGGATGGGGCTTCATCACCAAATGCAGAAATCATCCGGTCAACACAGTGTTAAACCACTTCGAAAGTCATAATAAATCATCGCTCTTGAATTTTCTCGAGTCAATTCCATTTTCTCAACGACTAAAGAAGTTTGACAAAACCTCGTGACAAGACCGAGAATATTTTTTAAATAAATAAATGGTATTCGATTTTCAAAACCAAGGAGGTTTCAATTAAAAAGATTTTAATATGCCAGGAACAGTGGAAATATTCCATTCCCGATACTTTTAGTGCAGCCTAGTATATTACAGTTATGTTTCCAATTCAAAAAAATAATTTTATTTCCAATATCTTTATTATTTGATTGTGTTTACCTTAACAAGTACTCCAGATCCACTTGGTTCAGAAACTTCAGTCCAGTGCAAGGAATTAACGTTCCCAGTTTCCGCGCTTTGGAGCATCGCATTTGTGTATGAGCTAGTCACACTTTTGAACTAAAATAAAGTATTAAAATTCTGATTTTCAATTATTAATCCTTTCAGATTGTCTATACTCTTGTCTATAATAAAGTTACTCACGTTAATCAATTTGCCTTTTTCTTCACTCGACGGAACTAACAGACTAATGGGATATGGAGTTCGAGGACTTTCACGGAATTGAATATCCTTAATATATACGCCTGGACCTCTAAAACAATGGAACTTTAGGTCTTTGGAGGGCGAAGATCTTTCCTTGGCAGTTGGAAACACGAATAACAAGTTTTCGCTAGACTAAATTTTTTCAGTGAAATTTTTGTGTAAAAACTTTCAGTTACGATCATCCCAGTGATATATCGCCCAAAAAATGCCTTCAGACATCAAAAGCCTTCGATCGAATCTACTTTTACGGTAACGCTTTTTTGTAGGTTTTTTTTTTGTACAGGTATCGTATAGCTCGAAATTTTAGATTAATGATCCAATGAAATGTTTGATTCTCAATAACCACCACTCAAACTTTTTAAATTGAAGCTGTGTCGGGATCTGTGTAATTATAATTCTAAATCAAGGGATTTTCCTAAAAAGTGAAATCAGGGCGGCGTCATACTTTTGATTTTTTAGAGAATTCATACACTATTTACGGTACCACTTATATCTGTCATAAATATATTTTTTTTTTACGCTTAAGCTTTAGTTTAGTTTAATTACGCTTAAGTAAAGATTATAATAAGTGTAATATTTAAATGAGCGCGCACTTACTGTATCAAACCGCAGATGTTTGAAAAATTTACTTTTAACATAGATTTTCCATGCTTTGTAAAAGTTTGATTTGAAGATTCAATGGTATCGATAACAATTCTATTAATCTGAGTTGGTTGTAAAACACCATCATAGTTCTGATTCAGAATAACAAGCTGCAGCATATTCTCAATCAATGTCACCCAGTTATCGCGCCATTCTATCATGGCTTTTGATAAAGACAAGTTAACACTCTTTATCAGACGGAAATCTTCGCTAAAATAAAAAAAATCGAACAATAACAAAACTGCGTACCATTTTAACCTGGTATTTTCTGTCAAGCAAGCATGTTTGGGTAAAATAATAAATTGATAGTAAATATGGTAACGATTGCACTCTACCACAGTAGCTCGACCACATTTTTGCTCAAAGCTTAGCAACGCAGGTCTGCTTCCTCTAGTGCAAGTAATCTTAAACTCAGATTCCGATTTAATGATGTTTTGTACATGTTGTGGGTACATATCTTTCGTAAAGAAGCAAGTCCTGACCTTCTTGCCGTTTCTCTTCACTGGTGTGACTGCAGTCCAAATCGGATCGAGAGTTATAACGATTTAGAAGCGCCTGTGAAGCCTTAATGAATACATTATATGTTTTGATATTGATTCAGGGTAAAATGTAGCCTTATAACCTGTAAGAGTATCCTTTTTCTTTTAGTAGTTGATAAAAGTCATTCGTGTTCAAGGTCATTGGAGTGTCAGTTGTATGAGTTTCTTTTCCGAATATATTTTTGCTAACCAGTAAAACAATTCCACTTGCAACTTTGGATCCATCATTTGTAACCTGAATAGTTAATATAGTTTTTTCAACATGTTAAGCATAAGCGAGGTTTCGAGTGAGAATCTACAGATATTTAAGCAATAAAAACAATTTGTAACCAGTTTCGTTTTATCTTCTTGATTACTTTTATACTAAAAATTGCTCATAATTTGAACGAAAAATACTCATAAAGGATTACTTGCTTTTTCGTTTTTATGGAGTTTGAAAGTTTTCGATTGGTTAGACACTAGGCATTGGTTAGATACTAAGCATTGGTTAGATACTAGGCATTGGTTAGATATTAGGCATTGGTTAGATACTAGGCATTGGTTAGATACTAGGCATTGGTTAGATACTATGCATTGATTAGATACTAGGCATTGATTAGATACTAGGCATTGGTTAGACACCAGGTTACTGTTTTTTATTTATTTTGATTCTTAACAATTTAACTATGTGGACTATCATTACTAAAACAGTTTCAGTCAGAATTTCGTTGTTGATTTACAAAAACCTGAAGAAGATAAGTAGAGAAGAGAGTTAATATAGTTTTTTCAACATGTTAAGCATAAGCGAAGTTTCGAGTGAGAATCTACAGGTATTTGAGCAATAAAAACAATTTGTGACCAGTTTCGTTTTACCTTCTTGATTACTTTTATACTAAAAATTGCTCATAATTTGAACGAAAAATACTCATAAAGGATTACTTGCTTTTTCGTTTTTATGGAGTTTGAAAGTTTTCGATTGGTTAGACACTAGGCATTGCTTAGATACTAGGCATTGGTTAGATACTAGGCATTGGTTAGATACTAGGCATTGGTTAGATACTAGGCATTGGTTAGATATTAGGCATTGGTTAGATATTAGGCATTGGTTAGATACTAGATATTGGTTAGATACTAGGCATTGGTTAGATACTAGGCATTGGTTAGACATCAGGTTACTGTTTTTTATTTATTTTGATTCTTAACAATTTAACTATGTGGACTATCATTACTAAAACAGTTTCAGTCAGAATTTCGTTGTTGATTTACAAAAACCTGAAGAAGAAACGTAGAGAAGAGAGTTAATATAGTTTTTTCAACATGTTAAGCATAAGCGAAGTTTCGAGTGAGAATCTACAGGTATTTGAGCAATAAAAACAATTTATAACCAGTTTCGTTTTATCTTCTTGATTACTTTTATACTAAAAATTGCTCATAATTCGAACGAAAAATACTCATAAAGGATTACTTGCTTTTTCGTTTTTATGGAGTTTGAAAGTTTTCGATTGGTTAGACACTAGGCATTGGTTAGGTACTAGGCATTGGTTAGATACTAGGCATTGGTTAGATACTAGGCATTGGTTAGATACTAGGCATTGGTTAGACACCAGGTTACTGTTTTTTATTTATTTTGATTCTTAACAATTTAACTATGTGGACTATCATTACTAAAACAGTTTCAGTCAGAATTTCGTTGTTGATTTACAAAAACCTGAAGAAGAGAAGTAGAGAAGAGAGTTAATATAGTTTTTTCAACATGTTAAGCATAAGCGAAGTTTCGAGTGAGAATCTACAGGTATTTGAGCAATAAAAACAATTTGTAACCAGTTTCGTTTTATCTTCTTGATTACTTTTATACTAAAAATTGCTCATAATTTGTACGAAAAATACTCATAAAGGATTACTTGCTTTTTCGTTTTTATGGAGTTTGAAAGTTTTCGATTGGTTAGATACTAGGCATTGCTTAGATACTAGGCATTGGTTAGATACTAGGCATTGATTAGATACTAAGCATTGGTTAGATACTAGGCATTGGTTAGATACTAGGCACTGGTTAGATACTAGGCATCGGTTAGATACTAGGCATCGGTTAGATACTAGGCATCGGTTAGATACTAGGCATTGGTTAGATTTTAGGCATTGGTTAGATACTAGGCATTGATTAGATACTAGGCATTGGTTAGAGAAACAGTTTCAGTCAGAATTTCGTTGTTGATTTACAAAAACCTGAAGAAGAGGACAAAAAAAAAACAAAAAGAGACTATTATCGCTTTCTTTTGAAAATTATATTTTTTATGTTTAGTCATATCTATCGTTCATGAAACCACATGATCCACATTGCAGATTATATCCACACAAATAAACGTCATAATTGCTATTTACAAAATTAAGCAAATTTATATCTTATGTTTTACATACATGTGTACATTTTTAATAATACAGCTAATATGGGACACTAACCTCAAATTGTCCATCGCCCTTATTGATCGCGACGCGCAATTTTAATATTTTTTCTTCGTAAAGTGCTGGTTGAACATCGATAAATAAATCGAGAAATCTAACCGATATTTTCCTCTTAGGCAAAGACATTGACATAGAAAGTGTATCCCATACCAGCATTAATATTCCGCCTATAGGGTACATCATTTTTCCTGTAAAAAATACTATACTTTTTAAAATTTTAAGTAGAAAATATATGACATATCCTTCAGAAGTAGATCATATATTTTTTTAAGATAGGAAGCGACTTGGCTGTACTCTGGTATTCATCATTCAACATCATAAATAACTTGTACCACTCGCCACCATGGAAAATGCAAGTTCACCTGTCATGGACTATTTAAACCACCCGATTAGTTCCATCATGTCTCTACGCAAACTGTATGAACGCCTGCTGTATAAACGCCTCAGAGACTTCATCTCATGCACGGGCATTCTCATCGATGAACTATTCCGATTCCGCGCAAATCACTCATGCCACAATAGGTGAACCACCTCACAGAGCACATTCTCGTAGGGCTTAACCGACCAAAGCCGATCTACACGGAAGCTCTCTTCTTCGACATCGCCAAAGCGTTCGACAAAGTCTGGCAAAACGGTTTGATTTTCAAACTATTCAACATTAGCGTGCCGGACAGTCTCGTGCTCATCATAGGGGACTTCTTGTCGAACTGCTCTTTTCGATATCGGGTCAAGGGAACCAGCTCCTCCCCGCGACCTCTCACGGCCGGAGTCCCGCAAGGGGCCGTCCTCTCTCCGCTCCTCTTTAGTTTGTTTACTAACGACATTCCCCGGTCGCCGCCGACCCATTTGACTTTATTCGCCAACGGCCGACCGTTTACTACTTGAGTAGAAACAAGTCCGTAATCGCGAGGAAACTCCAGAACGCAGTAACCTTAAGACAGTGGTTCCGAAAATGGCGCATAGACATTAACCCGGCGAAAGGCACAGCGGTGCTATTTCGAAGGGGAAATTCAACACATATTTCCTCCCGCATTCGGATCAGGAACCTTAATCCCTAGACACGTCCTTAGGGATCCATCAGATCCAATAATCCTTGCATTAGACGCCTTCAGCTCTAACATTAGGAGCAGATTTAGGGACTCCGGTAACCGTACTCGTCGAACTCGGCAAAGAGTTAGACGTGCAATCTAACCTAAACATCAGCCCGCTGAGTTTCTCGCCGGATCTTCTCAGCGGGTCGCGATTCCGATCCGGTAGTAGATTCATTCGCGAAGTAGCTACCCTTGAGTTGTTCGGTATCCTTTGGAGGCGCTCGGGCAGTTGTTAGCAAATCCCACCCCTCCTGGCTGAGCCTTTGCTCGCCCAACTATCCTGGTGAAACTGGATTCCGGGCCACCAGTAATCCCTCATTCATAAAAAAGGACTATTTAAAAAAAACCCACTTACCATTCGAAACATTTCCTCTTAAATACTTATGTTCTTCATCATGTACAGATATAAAATATTCGCAGATTGCACTACATATATTCTCAGTATTTAGTGGTTTCGGAACGTACCTGCATTTAAAAATACAATAATTAATATAATTTCCGTGAATCAATCACTCGAAGGACCACCTTAAGGTTAATGTTGGTTTTTAGTCCGTTTCATGCGTGTTTTCTTATTTGTTCGATTTATTGGAAAATATTTAGGTTATTAGGATATTGAGGAAATTTATAATGAGCTTATTGAGGAGCGTACATACATCATATAATTAGTAACATACATATATGTACAATGTACAATAATATTGAAAACATGTAGTTACCAAATATATGAGAAGCATTTGTGTAAATAATCTAATCTAAATAAATAATAACATGAAGTACGTACCATTCTTCTACGTGCATCCACTCTACTAAATGTGATAACATGGGAGTCCCGGTTGATACTGGAAAGTCTACTTTTGGGTACAAAGCTTTGATATCAGGCAAACATCCTTCCATGTATAACCTGAATAACGAATATCCTAAAGTTAAATTAAGTTTAATACAATATTCTTCTCTTATTGAAAATAATCACAACGTTACTGTTGAAGTATTTTTACTGTAGACCATTAAACATACCAACAGCTCTGCAACGACTATTATTTCTATCACACCAACTTAAGTTTAATCGTTCGTTACAAATAATTATTTACTATCCGTCGATCCAAATTCACACCGTGAGATTGGTGGATCGGTTTAATAATGTTTAGTACATGTGATAATTCGAAGTAGTGTAATTGAAGTCTTTTTTGTAACTTACTTTCCAATCGTATGGAGAAAATGTAATATATTGCCGGATCCACTCTTAGTTAAAGAAATGTTAAAGCAGTTTGATGGCAAAGAACGTTTAAGTATGGCCTGCAGTAGTCCACGCGGAGCTATCTCTATGACAATGGCATCGCTTGGAATTAATTGAGATGTTTCCTCGAATAGAACTGGACTCTGAAACAGGGTGATGTTCGATAAATTAAAACTGCCAACAGCATCAATAACAAAGCTGTAGAGCTTAAACATTTATCATTCGTATTCCGAAGCGGTAAATATTGTTACGCACTAGGCTCGACCTAAATAAAACCTTTTAACAGAAGTCAATATTAAAACTCAAACGCAAATCAGTTTCTGCTATTTGATGAAAGATGGCGCTACTCGTACCGTCGTAACAATACTTTTAAAAGAAATTGCAAAGCAAAACTATCGTGTATCTTTGTTTTCGTTTTGTTTCTTTTAATACACCATATTGGTATGAAATTAATCCACGAAACACTTTTTGTTATTTTCACTGAAAGAACTAATGAGCATCTTAATGCACATGCCGTCACCTTGAGAAATGGGCTTAAAGTCTCAAATCTATTGTAATTGTCCTTCGAAGCGCAATAAAAGGGCAAAAGGTCTTATTAGAAACTATTCACAGAGTAACAGTAGCGTGTGTCGACAGCGAATATATCATTTTACAAAAATAAAATGTATAATCAAAACTTTACTAAATCTTGTAAGTTAATGTGGTTACCAGTGTAAAATTAAAGCTTCAGGGGTAATGTCCAAGGGCTAACCAATAAAATATTTATGGGTTTTTACCTACCAACAAATTATTAGTCTGATATTCAGCAGAGCAGTTTTTGGCCACTGGATCATTCCAATTGTCTCGAGGAACAGAAGTAGATATCCAACGATTACTTCTTGGACGCGGGTTTTTAATCACAGCCTTTAGTAATTTTAATAGATTTTCACCTTGAACAAAGAATACGTTAAATTTTTAACAATAAATTTCATTATATATTTAATATCGTTCCAAAGGTAAGGATAAAAAAAAAACATTTATATTGTCTAAAATAAACGTGTGAAAATGTGCGGTAACATAAAATTTAATAAAAAATTTAGACCATAAATAATAATAATTTCAAAATAAGAACTACAATCTAGAATGTTATGTTTAGTATTACTTTTGAGATGTGTGAACGAGTGTTAAGTGATTACCAGAATCCATAGACATCTACTGCGACCCAATTTGATGTCTCCCGTTCTGTTATCATATTCTGAGTGTTATTAAATAAAGTAATAATTTCTTTTTTATATATTACAACAATACCCGATATTAAGGGACCAGTTTAATTACACATATTGTTATCATTGTTATCTGGGCGTATTTTATAATACAATAAAAAATTTTACCGGCGTCAGCAATGTAACGAGAATGATACGCAATATTTGCAGAAGGAACAGTTTTAGCAAATATCCCTTTAGTGGTCAGTTCAGCTACAAACTGAGTAATTGCATCTTTTGGACCAGATATAGTACTGGAATCAGGTCCGTTATGACATGCCACATCTATTTCCGGAGGACATATGGGTAGGATCTGCAAAAAATGTATTAAAGAATTTCAAAAGCAGTACATAATTATGACTTCTAGAAATGGTGAACTTTTAAATATTTAGACTCTTAACTTAACTCTAAATGTTTAGAGTTCACAATTTCTAGGAGGTTTATTTAAGAACATAAACAGGGCATTTAATGCATTTAGTAATGCCCAGTTTTTTTATTTATTCAAACCAATTTTAGTTATTTTAGTTTTAGTCGTCGTGGCCTAACGGATAAGACGTCCGGTGCATTCGTGTTGAGCGATGCAACGGTGTTCGAATCTCAGGCGGGTACCAATTTTTCTAATGAAATACGTACTCAACAAATGTTCACGATTGACTTCCACGGTGAAGGAATAACATCGTGTAATAAAAAATGAAACCCGCAAAATTATAATTTGCGTAATTACTGGTGGTAGGACCACTTGTGAGTCCGCGCGGGTGGGTAACCACCTGCCTATTTCTACCGTGAAGCAGTAATGCGTTTCGGTTTGAAGGGTGGGGCAGCCGTTGTAACTATACTTGAGACCTTAGAACTTATATCTCAAGGTGGGTGGCGCATTTACGTTGTGGATGTCTATGGGCTCCAGTAACCACTTCACACCAGGTGGGCTGTGAGCTCGTCCACCCATAAAAGCAATAAAAAAAAAAACTTTGATGATTCATTTTAAAACCGCTAATTGAAAAACTCATAACTAAATTAAGTAAAATTGCAGTAAAAATATCCTATTTAGGGGCTTCCTAATTAAATCCAAGCCCACTTTGAAAACAGAAACATTGCTAATTCAATTTAGACTCTCACCAATTACCAAGGAAATACATTTTGTTCGTAATATATTTTTAAAATAATAAATAGTAACTGGCAAGAAATCACGCACGGTCATCCGACCCAAATTTAGGATTCCCTGTGTTATGGGTACAACGAACTGACATACATATGTATTATTTTGACATTCAACAAGTGTGTCATACTGACATCTAAGTTGAAATAAATGATTTTTTATTTTATACATTTTAAATATATACATATATAAACACACAGGCTAGGAACAAATAAACCTATACATCACACGAGAAAAACGTGACTGGCAGTTTATGCAAAAAAATATTAAATGCGGCATGAAAAATATTACCATAAGAAAGGCAATTGTATACATTAAAAAGAATGAATCGAAAGCCTCGGAATTACTTGGATATAAATTATCGGTATTTTACCTTCAGTCTCTGTATCGAAAAGAAGCTTAATCCTAAATATTAAATATACAAACATCTACATGCAAAATGATGTTTATACGGAATCCTCCAAGTTCGAATTCTATGCGTGCTTGATTTATTTTTGTATATTCATTAGCTGCTAATTACTAACTAACTGTCTTCATTTATCATGATTTCATTTCATTACTTTGAAGTTTTGAATGCACACCTACCTGTCTGTATCCCATTCCAATAGCAGCCATAGACCCATTAATGAGATTAGTCTCGATAGATGCTTGGCCACGAGAATACGCTGCCAGAATCATTTCCTCTGCTGTTAGACATCCATCTGCATACGCGCAACCGAGCTCCCCAACACTGTGTCCTAAAATTCAATTCACTCATAAGAAAATGTTGAACTTTCATACTTTTACTATTGGACTATTTAGATAATTCAAATTTATATTCTACTTAATTTAAAAAAAATACAATTATGACGTCATCGATGTTAATTATTATACCGTAACAAAAAGAGCACGATCCTAAGTTGAAATAAAAACCACCGACTATCTCTTTACCATAATATTTTACAAATTTTGAATTTTTAATCATGAAAAATGAAATTATAGCTTACCTATTATATTATCAGGAATCAAGCCCAATGAACGCAATATATCAGTTAATCCAATTTGTATGGCTGCGATACCCACAAATGCATTTAGGATATTATTGAAAATGCCAGGCTCTGTTGATGTTATAATATGCACTATGTCTATTCCTTTAAGTTCGAGAGCTTTTCGACAGCTGTAAGAAATATCTTCATTTAGCAAACCATTCATTGATAATTTGAATATTATTCTAAGTTTTCTTTACCGTTCGATTGATGCGGAAAATATAGGAATTTCCATCAGTTCCGCCCCCATTCCCGGCCACTGAGAACCCATCCCGCTGTAGACAAACCATAAAGGACGTTTGGCACTATCGAAGTAGTTCACTTCTTCGCCTAAAGTTATTGTTTTGGTATCATTTGTATCTATAAATAAACATAAATAAGGTACAATCGAAGAATTTTATCAACAAAAAATTATCAGTTATTTATATTATATAAAAATGAGACAATCAACCTGTTTCTCAAAATACATTTTTTTTTTTTATAACAACGAGTGGCAAACGAGCAAGACGGGTCACCTGATGGTAAGTGATTCACCGCCGCCCACGGTCACCAGCGTTTACGCCAGTGCGTTGCCTACCCTTCAGGTAAGAATATGCTCTTTTCTTGAATAACCCTGGTTACGCGCGGATTAGTAATGGGATGCTAATGAATTATTGGGATGGCGCCACCTTTGGAGTTTGTTAGTTACTAATTACCGCGACTATCCAAAGCGTGGTTCTACCCGATCGATCACGCTTTACCGCTAGCTGCCTAGATGGCGGCACTTGAATATTGTGTGGTGCTGGTGCTTACGAAAAGCTACGTGAGCTTCGTCACCCCCTCCNTTTTCTTGAATAACCCAATGTCGCAGTTGTTGGGGAAGACCGCTGATGGCAACGAATTCCAGAGATTTACTGTGCGTGGCAGAAAACTGTTTTTAAAACGCATTGTAGTGGAACGCCAACCATCCAGATGGTGCGGATGATAGTTCCGGCGAGACGATCGGTTGCGAAAATCAGCGGCTTCTATTAAATTGAACAGCTCTCTAAGATCTCTAACTCATGAACTTCAACAATACTCACCAAGAATTGTGTAGCCTCTACTCAAATGCCCAGGAGTTGCCACCGAATGTATGTTGTGTAGCAGTGATAGTTCTTCGGGATCTATAGGTCTTGATTTTAAATCATCCAGTACTTTTTTTACTGAAGAGTCTTGTCTCCCAGATACAGTCACCAGATGTGGTATACTGGATTTGTATTTAGTAAAATCCTATAATTCATTAAAGCAAAATAATAAAATTACAAGATTTGTACATGTATTCTGTACATGATATGTACATGATCTTCATCTAGATGATGATGCGATGGAATGTTTTTTTATCATGCCGGTGGCCAAAAAACTCATGGTGAGAAAAATGGTGCTATATATAATAATATGTAAAATGGAAGAATAGAGAAAGAAAACATATTTTTCGTAGCGCTTGCGTTCTTATTTGGTTTAACACGTTACCATATTTTGATTGATGTTTTCTGATTTTTTTGCGTTCTTAGTTTATGTTTTGCCTTTCGCTCCCAACCCTCGATTCAGTTTTCACCTGGGCCTTGACAGGGGACTTCTTTGGTTTTTTTATTAATTTTATTTGCGACAAACTTTCGTTCTCTCCATAATTAAAAATCTTCTTCTTTTTCTCCACCTTATTCCACTAAGTGGGGTCGGCACAGCTAATTTTTCTCTTCCATTCTGTTCTATGAGCCGTCATCTCAACACTCATTCCTCTCACTCTCACATCATCATTCACACACTCCATCCATGTCTTCGTCGGTCGACCTCTTCCCATCTACTTTGCACTACCATTTCCATACATCTCCTAGTCACATGCATCTTCTCTCTACGCACGCATCACATGTCCAGACCACACTAACCGTCCGCTCTTTAAGTTGTTGATTACCGAGGCTACTTTCACACTTCCTCTGATATACTCATTATTTACCTTGTCCATTCTTTTCACTCCACACATCCATCTCAACATTCGCATCTCTGCCGCATGCACTCTTCTTTTATGCTTTACTTTCATCGCCCAACATTCAGATCCATTTTTTTTTTATTGCCTAGATGGGTGGACGAGCTCACAGCCCACCTGGTGTTAAGTGGTTACTGGAGCCCATAGACATCCACAACGTAAATGCGCCGTAAATTAACACCAGGTGGGCTGTGAGCTATCATACGCTTTTTCCAAATCAACAAATACCATGTGCCCATTTTTACTTGCACGGCGGTATTTTTCGCACAATTGGCGCAGGGAAAAAATGGCGTCCGTTGTACTTACTGGTTCTGTGGTACCTCACCCTCATCTCTCATACTTCTCGCTATCTCGCTCTTTTCTCCCAAGCTTTCATACTATGTGACATCACCTTTATTCCCCTATAATTGTCGCATACCTGTATGTCATCACCTTTGTTCTTAAATACAGGTACGAATGAACTTTTGCACCACTTGTCAGGCATGGCCTCTTCTTGGGTCAATTTATTGAAGAATAAAGTCAGCCACGTCCATCCATCCCCTTTCAGAAACTTCCGCACTTCTATTGGGATACCATCTGGTCCAGTAGATTTTCCACTCTTCATATCTTGTACAGCCTTTCGTGCTTCTTGTATACTTATTTCCTATACTACACCAGTATTTATCGGAACATTTTGTAGTTCACCATCCCGGTCATTCATCAACCTTTCAAAATACCTCTTCCATCTACCTCTTATTTCCTCATCATTTTTTAACACTTTTCCTGCTCTATCTTTCACGCACTTAATGTTTTTAATATCTCTTCCATCCTTCTTTCTTGTTTGGCTATCCTATACAGGTGTTTTTGTCGTTCACGTCTTTCTAGTTAGTGACTCATACAATGCATCCTGTGCCTTGGCCCTGGCAATAACTACAGCCTTTTAGCTGCCTTCTTGCTCTCTTTATATGCTGTCTTCAAGTTCTCTTTCGTAACCAAATCTGGGAAATCTGTGTTCTGAAATTCCTTAAAGAACTTCTTCTTTTCTTTAAGCGCTTTTTAAACGTCGTCGCTCCACCACCAGGCACCAGGTTTCTTTATCTTTAATTTTCTTTCCCGTTGACATCCCATCCATAATTAAAAATGTTAGTCATTATTTTAATCAACAAATGATTACTCAAAATTTATTAAGAAAGGTCTCCCTCAAATATATTTGAGATGACTAAATATTCACTTTCACAAAAACACATTTTTCCACTCAGAATTCTCTATAATATCCTATGTATGTACGTCAAAAACAGCTAAATGTTTATTTGTCGTAAGAGCGATATGTCAAATTTATAAGAAGTATATACATAGTAGCAGTTAAATCAAATGAATACCTATTTAGTAATTAAATATATTAACGATCTACTTTATAAACTAAAAATAAAACTACACAATCATGCGTCGGTTTTTAAATCAAGAATAATGTTTCAATACTTAATATTGATACTTAATATTTACCTTTTGTTTACGAAAATCCTTCAGTAAAACATGGGCATTGACACCAGTTGCAGAAAAGGCATTGACAGCTGCATAATTTCCATTAAATGAATGGTGGTCGTCTAAAATACGAATTTTCCCATTTTTTATAGCAGGTATGTCTTGGCGCGGCTTATTATAATGCAAATTACCAGCAAGCAAGCGAGTGTGGTAACCAAGAAGAACCTATAAATTGGAAATATTTTCAAATGATTATATAAAAATGAATCTTATTTATGGTTATAGGGTCGGGAATGCCATAACCGAAATTCTTCTGACCACAATGCTTTTTTTGGTGTAGAGATAAAATGGGCACATGAAAGGGTAAGCAAGGTCACATGTCTTAACTCGAATGGATATAAAGTAATGAAACCTTGAATTAAAACCTTAATGAATCATCTTCACAAAATTCTAGTGGTTAATTTAATAAGAATTCAAAAATGAATGTATAGCTCCTGATGGATCGTACTTACTTTTGTAATTGATGTAATGCCACTAGCTGCTACGGTGAAACCAACATTGGACATCACACTGCCTACGTACAGAGGATCGGACCTGTGGCTACAAAATACCTCATCCAATGCTTCCAATTCAGATTTATCTGATTCTGGATTACCTTTAAAATATGAATAATGGATTTTGTTCCATTAAAATTTCCATTTTTTGCAATGAAATTGTATATGTAGGTCATTTAGAGTTCGGAGTATTTAAGTGAAACTAGATGGCAATCGTCGAAACAATTACATACTAAAGATTTGGAGACATACAAAACATGAATTTAGTACCAAAAACTTAATCAAAAAATGTACCAATTCCATATGCTTCTACATAATCGACAGCTTGGGGAGGAATTTTTGCCTCTGTGTAAAAATCCCTCAAAAAACTTGCTGTCTCTTGGGGATTCCTGTAGAAACCGCATTTCGGGAACTCATTCTCCGATCTCAAAGATATGTACTCGTTTTTGACATGAATTACTTCAGCGTATACTCTAAAACAAATTCGTTGATCAAAATGAAAACCACTTAAATGCTTATAGATTTCTAAGTCCTTATCGCTATCGCTAATTATATAAATCCGACCGAATTTCAAGACCACAATTTTTGTTGACCTGGTGCATGGTTTAATTTAGGAGCATTAAGTTACTTGATTACAATAAATAGGAGTTTTTCTCAAAAAGATACATATGAAGCATACATTATTTACCTCAACGCATCACTTGCTTTTTGTAAGAAAATAACATTGATAGCATCAGATAAAACACATCCGTTGGCATCTTGATCAAACGATTTAGTTCTTCCATCTTTGGCTACTGAGTTAATTCTAAAAATTTAGTAAAAGGTATTAAGGTGAGTTAAGATCAGAAGACAATACGATTTTCAGAGTAACGACAAAAAGAAGATTTTACATCAAGCGGGTGAAATAGTTGGGTAAACCGACGGTCTAATGTTGTTGTTCGGAGTAGTATAAGAGCTTATTTTGAAAATATCATTAGTAAGATTGAGGCATTTGTCAAAATGGTTTTGTTAAATGATGACTACCGCAACATAAATAGTTATTTGTGTAACAAGAGAGCAAAGTTGTTTTTTGTTTTGAGTGCTGATTTTGAGTTCCGAGCAAGCGAAGGATCCTATGTCTGATTCACGAGAGTAGCAAGTGATTCAATCTTAGAATCCTGAGCGTAGTGAAGGACTCAACAACACGAGATGCAAAAAACTTTGCTTTCGTGTAGCACACATAACTTTTCACCTCAGCAGTGAGAACACATATTACTTAGGAGACATAGAAATGAACAGGAATACATTGAAACAACGTTTATTATTTGATATGAATCAAAATCAAAAAGCGGCATGTTTGAGCTGCTGGGGTGAAAATATCTATCATATCGTAGAAGATCAAAGCTAATTTGAACTATTACTCGTATTCGTTTTTTAATTTTTGTTCCCAGTAGTATTCTCATTTTAATTTCCTACTTAACCACCCGCAGTGATTCTTAGCTGGCATTTTCAAATTCTAAGAAGAATCACAAAGATGCATTTTTACATTTGACATGCAGATTGCCAATCGCAGTATGCTAGAATGACTTGATGAACTGCCTATTCTCTGGAGAATCCACTAGTCTCGTTTTACGAAACCCAAAAGAAAAAAAAAGTGGCCATATACTTTTTTTACGCCAGCGCTATAAAATGTCCCACGACAAATAAAAATCAATAAGAAAAATTCAGTGCACACAATTCAGTCACATGTAACTGTAAAAAATGGCCATGGTTAGGACCTTAAATTATTATTAATAACGAAATATTTCTTAAGTTCTTTTGATTAGATTATTATATAAAATCTAATGACTATATATTTAACCTGCTGTAATGAACGGACGTTGCAGGAAGCATGCACAAATTACATCCTCCAACAATAGCAGCTTCACATTCACCTCTGTTGATGGCAGCAAATGCCAGGTCTAGAGCAGTTAATGAACTACAGCAAGCTTGGTCTACGGCCATCGACGGACCTTTCACATTTAACCAATAAGAAATGCGATTCGCAAACATTGTTTTGCTGCATCTGTAAAAAAATACCGTAAAATATCGTATAGTTCAATCACGATACTTCAATCGGACATCTTAATAAAAAAATTTGTTACCCCATTATTCCAAAACCTCTGCTAGAAGATGTATCAAAAAATCCAGTAGTTTCGGTTTCAGAAAAGGAACTACCTATGTATACTCCGACATTTTTGCCACTTAAGCTATGACAACTGATACCTGAAAAATAAAACTATGTTTTTATGACACAGAATTTTATGCTATGATTTTTAAGTAATCGTTGAAGAAATTTGTAGCCACGTTTTTTAGGGATAACGAGTTCACGTTCTCTCCACGGCTTACAGTGTACTGACGTAAAAAATCAGAAATAAATGATTTTCAATTAAATGATTCCTTACTAATTTTATCTAGGCATAAGATGAGCTTCCGGTTGAAATTGAGATCTAACCTGAATCGTAAACAGCTTGGTAAGATTGCTCCAACAATTTCCTAGACATAGTATCCATTTTTTCTCCCAATTTTTGGTGAACCATGAAGAATTGGGCATCGAAATATTGTAGTTCCGGCGCTTTTCCCGTGTACGGGCCAATATCTCGTGGCGTATGAATCCACCGATTATTCTCTGTTATTACAGGATTGATCTAAAAGGATAAAAAATCAAGACACTTTTTGATACTACGTTATCAAGTTGTCGATTTTTTATATTATTTTTTATACAAATACATCAATTTTCATAATACCTTGCCATACAAAACATCAGCAAACTCTCGGACGGAATGCGCCTCAGGGAATAAGCCAGACATTCCTGAGATAACAATCCGCTCACGTTTTGGTGCACATTTCATCTCACCGTGAACGGTAGCATTCACTACTGAAGCCATATCTTTACCTTAAAAAAAATAAACATTGCAATTATAATTTCTGAAAGACAAATATTATGTGTGCTATCGATTACTGAGTTCATTTAAAAAGACGACTGAGTATCGCGTGTTCTTTTAGTTTAAATCCAAAACAAACGATTCCAAACCTTCTGGACTAGAATTTGTTGTGATACACGGTTGGTCGCAATTTTCTTGGTCATTTAAACGAAAAGAGTGGACTGTTTTAACATCTTCTCTATGACACTATGTCGAACAGTTGCTGGAAGAACAAATGGAACATGGTCGTTTAGTGCGGAGCACTCTTTCGGTAGGCAGCGGCTTGGCTCTGCCCCTGGCATTGCTGAAGTCCATGGGCGACGGTAACCACTCACCATCAGGTGGGCCGTATGCTCGTCTACCTACAAAGGCAATAAAAAAAAATTACCCTCCCCCTCGGGACGCCGGACTGGCAGTCGTCGGCGCCACGACCACCATCCTCTCGGTCGGCAGGCTATCCGAAGCCCGCCTAGATGGCGCCGGTTAGAGTGAGTTATCCTACGGAATACCTCGCTGGGTCAGAATCAGCGTGGGTCGAGGATAGCCGGTCTTCCATCACCCGGATGCTCTTGCGTAAAACGCGTGCGTGTACGTCGTCTTCTTAGGCCCCCCTCGCCGGTCCCCAGACCGACATGTGAGGTGAATCCAAAACACTTAAAGAGCCAGGGGTTGGGCGAGAACCGCCTTCCTGGCCTCCGCTCGACGGCGGCGGGCTTGTGCGTCTCTCACGCGCCTCCTGCGAGATGGTGCACTCGCAGAAGTCGAGCATGGCCTTCCACGACACGTCGTCACCGAGCATCGACGCCACAACACTTGACAACGACAAGTCGTTTCCTATTTTTGCGACGAGGACACGGCGCCACCCTTACCATTGCGGGGCAGGCGACGAGCGTATGCTCTGCCGTGTCCAAATCGCAAAAATAGGAAATGACTTGTCGATCGGCCAGCCGTCTGGACCATGACTTCAGAACGGACCGCCGAGATTGGGTCCTCCGCGCTCACATGATCACACTGGGGCTGGGACGGCCCACGCCCCGGACACGAAGGTCAGCCCGCCACTGATAGTCAGCGACGAGCGTCTTTGGGCAGAAGCCGGCTTAACGCCCCGGCCACCCCCAACAAACGAGGGCCCAGGTTCGGTCCAACAACTGTTCATAATGAGACCGAGGTATTTCGACTGCACCCCCACCCCGATACGGACGCCTACAACCACGATATAAGCATCGACAGGTGGCACTCTCCAGGGCCTGTGGAACCACATGGCCTCGGATTTACTGAGCGCCACGTCGAGGCCCTAATCTCCCGATCTCGTGATTTTGCCGACGACATGCGCCACCCTAGCGGTAGCAACGGGCAGACTCAGCCAACGTGTCATCTGCGTAACAGATTACGCTCAGGCCCGGGAGGAGGGCACCCCGCAGCACCCAGTCATACCCGATATTCCACAAAAGAGGGCCGAGCACTGACCCGTGTGGAATACCGCGCACGATTGGGAACCGATGCACGATCCCACCGTGTCCGGTGCACGTGACCGATCTGTCCTCTAAGTAAGAACCCACCAGCCGGCGAAGGTAGGGGGGCACTGCGTGTCTTTCCAGCGTCCAGAAAACACTGAATGAAAAATAATATAGGCGCCTAAAATCCGTCTAATTTATTTTTTATTGCACTATGGGTGTGTGGGCACCTATGGGTGGACGAACTGAGGTTTTAATATAAAATTGGTAATCCTATAGATTACTGTCACGTGAAATCATTCGTGATTAAAAACGTGGCACGACTGGAACGAATGTTTGAAGGCCGAAAAAAGTTTAACGCCGGCAAATTCATAAATTTATCGATAAAAATAGTTTTAATTCTGCACTCTACTTCTTGTAACTTAAAAAGTATTACCTTTTATATTCGTCAGAGCCCTTCTCTCAATACTTAAAACTTCAGCAGTGGGTAGACATTAAATCAATAATATTCAAAGTGAAACCACGCTCCATTTATAATTTTTTATTTGTTAATTAAATCATTTGTTTTGTCCATTTGCATATTTAAAACAGACTAAGCGTGAAATTATTTTAAGGTTACGTATTTAATTTTTATTTATTTATTATATTGATTATAGTCATTATGTGTGCTTAAACGATCGAATTACACAAACAACACAAGAAGAATTGTGTATACAGATTTATGCCTAAGTCTGTTTAAGCTGCGAAGCAACTCTAGCGACTTTGTTTGAATTAATGCTCCAACCTAATCATTCACCGTCCATCTTATAAATTTTTCTCGGTAATGCATATACATAATACGAAATGTGGGGATACCTTCGTAGTTACTAGAATAGCACCACCCTATCATCCCGTGCGTGTCCTAAATACGACTAAGGGATTCACAGTACTACGGGAGCCGCATTCTCTGCCCATTTATTATACTAGCATACTTGAATCGGCATGCTGTATTTACTGGTGGTAGGACCTAATCATATCCCATTTGTAGGCAGCAGCTTGGCTCTGCCCCTGGCATTGCTGAAGTCTATGGGCGACGGTAACCCCTCACCGTCAGGTATGCTCGTTTCCCTACAAGGGCAATAAAAAAAATATCCCATCCATGTCTTAAGGCGGACGATATTCACGCTATTATGTCAATGAGCAACACTGTATACTATGTAGGCCGTGAAAATATATTCAATCCGGTAATAAAATTATACATAACCCACATAAATTATTCTTTCCCTATTGTTTTATATTTTGGTTGATTCTTCTGTTTGAATAAATACATTACATTAAATTTGGCAAACGCGTATATTGATTAAAATATATTGGAAAATAAAGGTGTAATTAAAGTTCTAGTATTCGTACGGTAACAAGCAGCAACTAAGTATAGTATTTTTCAATTTTCACGACTCGTGTATATAATAAGAACTATTTCTTTAAACTTTAGTTTTCATGGTCACATCATCGGAACGAAGATCTTCTTTTTCTCCACCTTATCCCACTAGGTGGGGTCGGCACAGCTAATTTTTCTCTTCCATTCTCTTCTATCAGCCGTCATCTCAACACTCACTCCTCTCTCTCTCTCATATCGTCATTCACAAACTCCATCCATGTCTTCTTCGGTCGACCTCTTCCCCCTCTACCTTCCACTACAATTTCCATACATCTCCTAGTCACATGCATCTTCTCTTTACGCATCACATGTCCATACCACGTTTACCGTCCGCTCCTTAATTTGTTGCTTACCGGGGCCACTTTCATACTTCCTCTGATATACTCATTCTTTATCTTGTCCATTCTTGTCACTCCACACATCCATCTCAACATTCGCATCTCTGCCGCATGCACTCCTCTTTCATGCTTTACTTTCGTCGCCCAACACTCCATACAGCACGACAGGTCTAATGATCGTTTTGTAAATTTTTCCCTTGAGCTGAAGGGGCATTCTACGATCGCATGCTGTTGCAGAGACCTGTCGCCATTTCATCCAACCAGCGTTTATTCGATTTGTGACGTCCCGGTCTATGTTGCCGTCGTTCTGGAGTATAAAGCCGAGGTACTTGAAGTCGGAGCAGACTGGCAGGGATACACCATCTAAGGCGATTGGCGTGAAGTCTGAAGAACCAACAAAATCACAAAACATGTGCTCGGTTTTTGTTCGAATAATCTTCAAACCCACGTTTTCCAACCTTTCTTTTCATTTTGCCAGTCTCCTCTGTATCTCAGGCCCTTCCTCTCCAGCGAGAACAATGTCGTCGGCGAACAGCATACACCAAGGCGCCTCTTCCTGTATGTCCGATGTTAGGGCATCCATTATTAGGATGAACAGGTAAGGGCTTAAAGCTGATCCTTGGTGTAAGCCTATCGCCACACTGAACTCGTCGGTATCGCCAGCTGCGGAGCGTACGTACGTACTAGCTCTACCGTACATAGCTCGAACAAGCCGTTGGTATTCCTGGCACTCCTTTCACTTTCATGCTCCACCACAAAACCTCACGGGGAACCCTATCATACGCTTTTTCTAAATCAACAAACACCATGTGCACATTTTTACTTGCACGGCGATATTTTTCGCACAATTGGCGCAGGGAAAAAATGGCGTCTGTTGTACTGCGTCCCGACATGAACCCGAATTGGTTCTGTGATACCTCACTCTCATCTCTCATTCTTCTCGCTATCACTTTCTCCCAAGCTTTCATACTATGTGACATGAGCTTTATTCCTCTATAATTGTCGCATACTTGTATGTCACCTTTGCTCTTAAATACAGGCACGAGTGAACTTTTGCACCACTCGTCAGGCATGGCCTCTTCTTGAAACAATTTATTGAAGAATAAAGTCAGCCACGTGCATCCATCCGCTTTCAGAAACTTCCACACTTCTATTGGGATACCATCTGGTCCAGTAGATTTTCCATTCTTCATATCTTGTACAGCCTTTCGTACTTCTTGCATACTTATTTCCCTTACTACACCAGTATTTATCGGAACATTTTGCAGTTCACCACTCCAGTCATTCTCTTCATTCATCAACCTTTCAAAATACCTCTTCCATCTATCTCTTATTTCCTCATCATTTGTTAACACTCTTCCAGCACTATCTTTAACGCATTTAATGTGGTTAAAATCTCTTCCATCCTTCTCTCTTGCTTTGGCTATCCTATAAAGGTGTTTTTGTCCTTCAGGTCTTTCTAGTGACTCATACAATGCATCCTGTGCCTTGGCCCTGGCAATAGCTACAGCCTTTTTTGCTGCCTTCTTGCTCTCATTATAAAGATAATAAAACAAAAAATAACCTTAAAAGTAGTTTTAATGTATATAATATTATGTACGAGTACATGTGGTTGCGCTGGTTTAAAACTTAGTTAGTTTTAGGTTTCGAAAAATAGCAACATTTTAATTTGGTTTTGCAAATCCTGTCCCATCCCTCTCCGGCACTTTACCTACGGACGCATGCGAGCGAGATCGTGTGGTGACATCGAGACGA